AACCAGCTGTCTAGGTCCTGTATCGTATCATCTAGTAGTCCAGTTCACTTTTGTAGCTTAACCAGCTGTCTAGGTCCTGTATCGTATCATCTAGTAGTCCAGTTTATTTTGTAGCTAAATCAGCTGTCTAGGTCCTGTATCGTATCATCTAGTAGTCCGGTCACTTTTGTAGCTTAACCAGCTGTCTAGGTCCTGTATCGTATCATCTAGTAGTCCAGTTTATTTTGTAGCTTAACCAGCTGTCTAGGTCCTGTATTGTATCATCTAGTAGTCCAGTTTCTTTTGTAGCTCAACCAGCTGTCTATGTCGTGTATCATATCATCTAGTAGTCCGGTTTATTTTGTAGCTTAACCAGCTGTTTGGGTCCTGTATCGTATCATCTAGTAGTCCGGTTTATTTTGTAGCTTAACCAGGTACAGGACCTAGACAGGCAGTGTGCTGTTGCTAGTGGTAGGGCAAATAGGATTTTAAGTTGTATCTACAGAAATATTGAATACAAGTCTAAAGAGGTTATACTTTCATTGTACAAGTCACTGGTTAGGCCACATTTGGAATACTGTGTTCAGTTTTGGGCTCCTTACCTTAGGAAAGTCATTGAATTGTTGGAAAGGGTTCAGAGAAGGATTACTAGAATGGTACCTGGGATGGAGGGGTTGACATATGAGGAGAGACTGAAATCTCTCAAATTATTTTCTCTTCAAAAAAGAAGAATTAGGAGGATCTAATTGAGGTGTTTAAGATTGCAAAGGGAATTGATAGTGTTGATGTATCATGTTTTTCATATTTAACGGTGAGAATAGTAGAACTAGGGGACATAAATATAAAGTTAAAGTTATATAAAGTTAGGAGTCATCTTCAGCTAAGACAGTTTTATTTTTCTAACAGAGTGGTTGGCCTTTGGATGTTGTACAGGCAGTAAATGTAAGTGAGTTTAAGAAAAAGCTTGATAAGTATATGAATGATAAGGGTTAGCTTTAACATTAAAAAAAAAAAAATTAGTTTAGAGGATGGAACAGCCAAGATGGACCAATAGGTCCCACGTTGTCCCAAAATGTTATGTTATGTCTATATCTGTTTAGGCTAGTTGTTATATGTTAAGTTAAACGTTTGTGTTATGTTACGTGTTATCATGTGTTATGTTACATTATGTTAAAGCATATACTGCTTTGCTGTCAGAGAAAAATATGCAAATGTAGGTGGGAAGGGGTTAATTTCAACTTTAAGTGTGCTGTGCCAATACTTTTGATAATATAGTTTACAAACACATTGCAGAGACTACACTAAGGACTAACCTGTACATTAAATATAAAACAATTGTAATCCACACATTAGATATAAACACATTGCAGTGAGAATTCAACTAAAGACATTAACAACACTCATCCTGAGGTAAAGACTGACAGTAGGGTGAATTAAAGGCATTAAAAACACTCACCATGGGATAAAGACTGACAGTAGGGTGAATTAAAGACATTACGAACACTCACCATGTGGTAAAAACTGACAGTAGGGGGGGGGGAATTAAAGGCATTAAAAACACTCACCATGGGATAAAGACTGACAGTAGGGGGAGAATTAAAGGCATTAAGAACACTCACCATGGGGTAAAAACTGATAGTAGGGTGAACTAAAGGCATTAAGAACATCACCATGGGTAAAAACTGATAGTAGGGTGAATTAAAGGCATTAAGAACACTCACCATGGGGTAAAAACTGATAGTAGGGTGAATTGAAGGCATTAAGAACACTCACCATGGGTAAAAACTGACAGTAGGGGGAATTAAAGGCATTAAGAACACTCACCATGGGTAAAAACTGATAGTAGGGTGAATTGAAGGCATTAAGAACACTCACCATGGGATAAAAACTGACAGTAGGGTGAATTAAAGGCATTAAAAACACTCACCATGTGGTAAAAACTGACAGTAGGGTGAACTAAAGGCATTAAGAACACTCACCATGGGGTAAAAACTGATAGTAGAGTGAATTAAAGGCATACTGATTAATACTCATTCCGAGGAAAAAGTGTTTAGAGACTAAGCTAAAACATTGAGAACACTTACTTAGGGGTGAAGACTGATCACAGGGTAAGTTAAAGACATTAGGAATACTTATATTGGGGTGAAGACTGATCACAGGGTAAGTTAAAGACATTAGGAATACTTATATTGGGGTGAAGACTGATCACAGGGTAAGTTAAAGACATTAGGAATACTCATATTGGGGTGAAGACTGATCACATGGTAAGTTAAAGACATTAGGAATACTCATATTGGGGTGAAGACTGATTACAATTGGAACACTCACCTTGGGGTGATAAGACTGATGGTTGAGAAAGAGACATCAGATGCCTTTCAAGCTGTTCAATCTGCTGTTGACAAGTATGCATCTGTTTTTCAAAACTGGAAACTATTCTTTGGAAATATCTAGTTATAAATAAACAAACAGCTTAGCTATCACTCAAAACAGAAAACTAAAGCTTTCTTAAACATCTATCAACTAAACTAAAGCTTTCTTAAAAATCTCTCAACTAAACTAAACCTTCCTTAAACATCTCTCAACTAAACTAAACCTTCCTTAAACATCTCTCAACTAAACTAAAACTTAAATATAACTAAACTAAAACTTCCTTAAACATCTCTCAACTAAATTAAAACTTAAACATAACTAAACTAAAACTTCCTTAAACATCTCTCAACTAAACTAAAACTTCCTTAAGCATCTCTCAACTAAATTAAAACTTAAATATAACTAAACTAAAACTTCCTTAAACATCTCTCAACTAAATTAAAACTTAAATATAACTAAACTAAAACTTCCTTAAACATCTCTCAACTAAACTAAAACTTAAATATAACTAAACTAAAACTTCCTTAAACATCTCTCAACTAAATTAAAACTTAAATATAACTAAACTAAAACTTCCTTAAACATCTCCCAACTAAACTAAAACTTAAATATAACTAATCTAAAACTTCCTTAAACAGTGATAACTTTCATCCTGTAATGATTTTTCCAAACTGCCATCATGGTAAAAACAAGGTTAAAATGTTCAAAGACTAAGACTATTTTTATGATATTCCTGATGAAGTACAGGTTAGTTAAGTTATATCCCATCACAAGTATAAGGTTACATATAACATTTTACAAAATTGTACATCTTTATAGATAATAATTAGATACTTACCCTGTTGGAGCTGTGTTTTCAAACTGTAGTGCTGGGGGAGTGTCCTTTGTTCTGTGAGCAATCTCTGCATCTTTTAATTCCTGATAAAAAACAGAGAATTAGGTCTGAAGAGATTTATCTAATCTACAGTGCTAAATATAAACTTCTTCTCCAGTGGTTATACTGATGACAATTATGAACACTAAATACATGTAAGAACTTATAAACAAAACCAATTAACTATCTCTACTCATACTTCATAATATAACGTCACAAGACATGCAACTGTGCAAAAATATTTCTTCTAGAATGTTATTAGAATTGTAAATACAAGAATGAAAAAAAATGTTGTTGTTTTTTTGTATATCGAGACCTAATAACAATTCCACACTTGAGATGAACATAGATTTGTTTTTTTTTGTTTATCATATAATACTATAATCAGAATGTATTATAATATAACTCAGTTTCTGTCTGTCCTGAAAATCTGCACACAACTTACTACCTAAATGCATATTCACTTCTTTTCAATGGATTTAAAAGAAAGGCAAACTTAAATATACTTTAGTAGACACTTTGTACAAGAACAAATTTAAAGCTTATCAAAGTTTTTAAAAAGGTATAATATTAGGTCATAGAATAACAACATAAGTTTATTTACCGATAGCATTAAGTACAGCAACATTTAGCCCTAACTAAACTAAAGCAAAAAACATACACAAGTTAGTGTTGATCTATCTCTTTTATCGAATATAGGCCATGCTTAATAAAGGCTTAACTAATGATAGGCGCAAGACAACTGGACTTATAGATTTTGGTGTCTGTGATTAGAATTATTTTGTATTACTCTAGAAATCCTGTATTTAAAGAAGTACTGTTGCATTTAAGGTACTAATTTGACAGCAAATGTTTGCGCGTCTCTGCTAATATAAGTTATGTTTTAAAAAGCCCCATAGCTATCACCCAATATTTCTGAATGCTCTTCATAAATAGTGATTTTTATGAGCCACTACTTTTTATTAACCCATTAACTGCGAATGATGAAAATTACCATTTTATTGTGATTGATGGCAACTCAGTTTTATCTGTAAGTCAGAAAACGGCAACCGAGCTGCTCCTGCTGCAGTTAATGGGTTAATGTAGGGTCAGAGGTAGCAGTATACTTGTTACTAGGCTTCAAAGGGTTAATATATTAAAACACATGATTAAATTATAAATTACTTCCACCATTAAGTGTGACAAATACAAAATATTGCACTTAATTTAATTATACTTTAAAATCTATTCAAGACACCAGAAAGTACAATAACATTCTTCTATGTGACACATTTGAAACAATTATTTTACTAAAAACATACACACACACACAAATATACATAATTAACACATAAGAATAATGTCAGTTATGTTTTACGTAACTGTCAGTTAACTTTGTGTTACACAAGTTATTACCTGAGCTGATTCCTCTTCCTACGTAACTGTCAGTTAACTTTGTGTTACCCAAGTTATTACCTGAGCTGATTCCTCCTTCTATGTAACTGTCAGTTAACTTTGTGTTACACAAGTTATTACCTGAGCTGATTCTTCCTCCTATGTAACTGTCAGTTAACTTTGTGTTACCCAAGTTATTACCTGAGCTGATTTCTCCTCCTATGTAACTGTCAGTTAACTTTGTGTTACACAAGTTATTACCTGAGCTGATTCCTCCTCCTATGTAACTGTCAGTTAACTTTGTGTTACCCAAGTTATTACCTGAGCTGATTTCTCCTCCTATGTAACTGTCAGTCAACTTTGTGTTACACAAGTTATTACCTGAGCTGATTCCTCCTCTTACGTAACTGTCAGTCAACTTTGTGTTACACAAGTTATTACCTCAGCTGATTCCTCCTCTTACGTAACTGTCAGTCAACTTTGTGTTACACAAGTTATTACCTGAGCTGATTCTTCCTCCTATGTAACTGTCAGTCAACTTTGTGTTACACACGTTATTACCCAAGCTGGTTCTTCCTCCTATGTAACTGTCAGTTAACTTTGTGTTACACAAGTTATTACCTCAGCTGATTCCTCCTTCTATGTAACTGTCAGTCAACTTTGTGTTACACAAGTTATTACCTGAGCTGATTCCTCTTTCATTCTTTGAATGGCCACTGCATTCCTCTGTAAACCATTTGAAACTTCAGATAACAATTGCTTGAGTGCTGCAGTTTCATCCTGCACCTTCAGTATTTTCTTGGAAGACACTCGGGATATTTCTTCTCGAACAAGTTTTTGGTCTTTAACATACTTTCTAAGATAAGGTATCACAATTAAGAGATTAATAGTATAACAATAAAAGTGATGACTAATAATGTTAGAGGATAACGTTTTCAAAACACACAAAGATTACTTTCACAGTCAGTTAAATGCAACTCTTCGTGATAATCAACATTAAATATGCCGGCTCAGTGGCTAATACATCAGTAAACCTAGACAGCTGGTTAAGTTACAAAATAAACCAGACTACTAGATGATATGATACAGGACCTAGACAGCTGGTTAAGCTACAAAATAAACCGGACTACTAGATGATACAATTGGATGGCTTTAGAGACTGACTATTACACTAAGATCCCTTTCCTTCATAACACTGTTAAGGTTTTTCCCATCCAAGTTATACTTGTAATTCAAATAATGATAACCCACATGCATTATCTTGCATTTATTATAATCAAAACCCATCTGCCATTTATTTGCCCAACTCACTAAATGATCTAAATCTTTTTGTAAATCAGAAGCATCCTCTTCACAGCTAGCAACAATAAGACCTTAATATTATCTGCAAATTGAAATCATTTATTGACCATTCCTTCATATATGTCATAGATGTAAATCAAAAAGAGCAAAGGTCCTAAGACTGAACCCTGAGGTACCCCACTTGTGACATTAATCCAGTTTGACTGAACTCCATTTACAATAACCCTCTTCTTTCTTTCATCCAGCCCCATTTCTATCCAATTAGCCAACTTATCCCCCACACCTATAGAGATAATATTTTTCACAAGCCTTTTATGTGACACATTTTCAAATGCTTTCTGAAAATCCAGATACACCAAATCTACACCCTTACTCTCATTTACATATGCAGTAACCTTTGTAAAGAATGTCAAAGGATTTGTAAGGCAAGAATTTCCCTTTGTGAAACAGTGTTGACTATGCAATAAAATTCCAAACTTTGTTAAACGACTTTGCAAAATGTCTTTTATCAGACATTCCAAAACTTTTCCCTCAACTGATGTAGGACTAATAGGCTTATAATTACTCAGACAATTTTTATTACCTCCCTTGAAAAGAGGAGTAACATAAACCAACTTCCAATCCTTAACCTTCAAAACCCTTGGGGAAATATTATCTGGCCCAGGAAACTTATCATTCTTTAAACTTCCCAATTTTTCTTTAGAAGCTCAGAATTAATGTGATTATCTTGTTTGATCTTGTTTCCTTCTATCACCTTTCAGGATGAGGAATATTGTTTGAATATTCATTAATAAAAACTGAAAAAAAAGCAGAATTTGATTAACCTAGCAATCTCATAATTTTCAGATATTAGCCTCCATTTATCATCCCCCAAAGGCCCTACTCCCATCCTAACATTTTGTTTACTCATATTTTATTTAAAGAAATCCTTACTGTTAATATTTACATTTTCATCCAACCTTTTTTCATAATCCTTTTTCATGTCTTAATTTCCTGTTTGACCAGCTTTCTTGATCTTCTGTCATACCAGTCAATTTAAATTCTTAAATTTGTGATGCTTTTCTATAAGTTTATCTCTTATACCTTTTGTAAGCTAACCTGTTTTTTTACTTCCAACCATCTTTTTCTTTCTATAAAGAGTATGTTTATCTTTAATATTTAAAAATTTATCTTTAAAAAGTTTCCACATTTGATCATTGCCTCCAAATAATTCAGCAGCCCAATTCACACCAGATAATTCTTTTTGCATCCCTTCAAAATTTGTTTTTGAAATTTGCAATTAAAATATCATTATTCCTGATCTCCATATGCAGCAAAACATCAAACCTAATAGAGAAATAATCACTTTCACCCAGATGTTCCAAAATCTTCATCCACTCAACCATTTCTATATTACAAGTTAACAATAAGTCTAAAATAGCATTGTTTCTTGTAGGTTTCTTGACCAATTGGAGAAGAAAAACCATCTTGAACAGTTTCCTAAAACCTTACTCTCTCATGGTTTGAATCTAGCATTTTCCAATCCATATGCCTAAAATTAAAACCACCCATCATTATGGCCTCATTAACAGTTGAAATCTTAATCTCTCTGTAAGGTTTCTCATCAATTTCATCAGTACCATCTGGTGGGCTGTAACAAATTCCTACTAAAAGCTTTTTCCCTTTCTATCCGCTAATAGAAACCCAGTTGGATTAAATTTTGCTATAATCATTGATATTCTCAACTTCAACAGAATGTAACTCACATTTTACATACAAAGCCACTCCTCCCACTCTCTTTAGTACTCTATCCCTATTAAATAACTTATAACCCTGTATTTCAAAGAAATTTCTGTCCTACATTGTCTACATTTAACCATATTTCAGTTATTCCCATTATATTAACATCTTCCATTCATACCAGTGCTCTAAAGTCATTTGTTTTATTTCTACTTCTAGCATTACAATAGTAACAATTAAGCCTACCTTTATAACTACTTCTACACTTTGTTCCTCTACTAACCTTTCCACTACATCTTATTTTTTCTGCATTTAGTTTATCCTGGCCCTCACCACTGTCTAGTCCTAGTTTAAAACTTTCCTTACAGTTGAGTTAATACTTAATAGCCCTTGCAAACAAGCAAGCCTCTATCTTATTTAAATGTAAACAATCCATTCCAAAAAGTTTCCTTTTCCCGTTGAATTGATCCCACAAGTACAACCAACCAATCTACTCATCCTTATATATTTACCTAAACCTGGTGACCTACTTATAATTTCATCCCCACAATTAATTCTCAGCAGTATCCCTGACACAGTTAAGTTATGGCCCTTTTCTTTAAATGCCTTTATCAATCCCATGTACTTATCTATTAGCTCCTCTGATGTACCTTACCCTACATCATCCGCCCCTATGTGCACAACAAAGACTGCATCTCTACTAGCCCCTTTTATTATACCTCTTGCTCTGTCAATTATATCCTCCACCTGTGCCCCTGGGTAGCATAATCTGACTCTTTTTCTTCTTATTTACCCCACATACTATCCTCCATGCATGCCTTATCAAAGAATCACCTATAATTATAACCTCCTTAAGTTTATTATTCCACATCCTTCTCTGTCCCTATTAGTATTAATATTATTTTACCTTCTCTCCAATAGTTATTCTTGTGTACAAACTAAAAGCTGAAATCATGTAAAGCTTAAGTTCCTTTTGAAATCCTGCTACCATTTCCCACAGCCAAACTTCTCTTTATCTATTGCCTCTACTCTAATTAGGATAGCCCTAATTTCTCCTCCAATTTATAAACTCTACAAACAAATTGCACACCTTCACTACTAGCTTCCTTAAAAATACATGCCAATCTGGAGTTCCCAAATAAGACCCATAACTTCCTGTGGTGAGTAAAGAACAACTTAAACACTATAAACATAACTTACTGACAACAACTTGAAGAGGCCTAGTTTTGTTTTAAGATTTTTCCTTATTCAGAGTTGCTAATAAAGGGGTGAACTACTTAAAATACTCAATAAGAGACTGGGCTTCACATTACTTTCTCGCTGAAATTGTGAATTGTGGTGATGAGAGAACAAAATTATAATGGATACTCTAGCTGAAGTAAACTAAAAATAAACTATTTCCTTATTACGTTGGAGAAAAATACCATTTTCAAATTTAATTTATTTAATTTGTATCTATTATTCTTTAGGATACCATTGGGATTGTTCTGATTGGGCTACTGCTCAGAAACCTCTTGGTGACATCACTGAAATATCCTTGAAAGAAATTACAGATTCATCTAGTATAGCAGATACCAACAGTCGAGATAGTCAGACAGAGCTGCTTCCAAGTGCTCTAGATGCTGATAATAGCATTGATCTTGATTCTGCCATTTCAGACATTATTGGGGGTTTGGATGACAATAAAAGTCAAGCAGATGGTGGCCATTTTCAAAGCACTTTACAGATAAGTGATAAGGAGTTTCTTGATGGAGAAGACTGCATTTCTTCAACTTTCAACTACACTTGCCATCCTAACCAGTACTTGCCCATACATGAGCAACACTGGAATCAGTCTGGAATTCATAGACAAACCTCATGTGACCAGTCAGATGATGATGGTATCTTTGCTTACGGGTTTCCATCACAAGGTGGTAAAGAATTCATGGTTGATGTAGCTAAAGATCTTTGTCGGAACACTGGACTGGACAGTTTATCAATGTTGGCAGGAGGTTACACGTCCACTAATGCTTCTTGTTCTGACCTCTCTGCCAATTTATGTGAAATAGAAGACAGCGAAGTGAATAGTGATATGGAGATTGAATTCGTGAATGGGCAAATATCTAACAAGCTAGGAAATCAAAGTATTGGAACCGTGATTTAGTGTTTGTTACCTCTCTACTACAGAGAATTTATACAACTATCATATGCCTTGAATAACTTGTCTTCTAAGCATAAAAACAAGCTTCCCAGCATTCCTTTGACACAAGATCGTGGTAAGAAAATCCCCATTAAGCGGCTGTTTTTGTTTTGTTGAAAAACTGTATATAGTGCACATTGTGCCAAATATGTATTATCACTTCAATCAAATCGGGTAGTTTACTTAATTCTGTGTTACTGTGGAGCATTATCATTACAAGTGGGAAAAGAACTGGTATTTCCCGTGTTTCCATTGTTTGTTATGCGATGTTAAACCAAGATGTTTATTATTTTGCGTCAGTGTGTAAAGTAAAGAGTATATATATGTACAGATAAAACATGTAAAGTGGCCAGATTTGAAAATCTCTACATCTTCCTGAAGAGGACACAACAGCATTTTGGAACGTAAATATTAGTAATGATAATCTTTAAGACGTAAGATATGTATAGTAGTCAAGTTTGAAAATCTTAACAGTTCCATGACAAATTGCAGTATCAAGCTGAAATATTAGTAATTATAATCTTGAAGACAAAAGTAATGTACAAGAGTTTAGGAGGGGAGTCGACGATTTCTTATAAAATAATAGGGGATTTAAATTTTTCCTTTTCTCAGTGTTGGGTGTGCAAGGACAGTCTTTAAGGACCACGTGATTCCTTTGTTGTCCATAGGTTATGTTAATTCTGAGATCTGTAGTATTTTCTGAAGTGGTTTGCACATTTATTTTGCTTTTAGTTGAAATAAATAATCTTATACTTTTTTCCAAGTAAAATGTTTGAAGATTTCTATCTTAAAGTCAGATACCTGCTTATCGAAAAATAAGTTAGTTGGTAAAATCTTTCTCTACAGAATTAGTTGTAGAAACGCAGGGAATGAGTACTTTTGAGGAGTTTAAAATATTCAACAAACTCCTAGTTTTGTTTATTTTTCAGTTGTGTTTCAGGCTTGCTTTATCTTTTTTTGGTTTTGAGAACATTATTTAATTTATTTGTCAATATAATTCTATTCAAGTGGCAATACTACCATCTTTAAAACTACAGTTTTATGCTGTTTTGGAAAATTAGATTAGTTTTGAAGTTTCAAACATTTTTTAAATAATTGAAGTATGTTTTTTTCAGGAATGCCTAATTGTATTGACGATTTCATAAACATCTGCACCTTTCTACTATCACTAATAGAAGTAACACATGGACTATAACGCCCCCCCCTCTCCATTCCCTAATATTTTAAATATACATGTATTTCATATTGAGAGACAAACCAATAGTTAGAATTGCGGACTTGAAGTCAGTGGTGGCTAGTTGGCAAAAAGCCAGTGGGTTTTAGCGTTTCATCATTGACCATCAAGGATCGCTGTACTTTTTTTTTTTGACAATTGACTATCCAGGAATGATTATAAATGTGTTTATTACATTCTTTTTTTTTTTAATTTCATATTAGGAAATGTAATTATCGTCACAAACATAGGTCTAAAGTTTGACAGTGTATCAAATATATAAAATTGTAAATGCAACACTTCATGTAAACTCACATCAATGGGTAGTTACATCCTGCTGCTAATTATATTCAACTCGTAAATTGTGTTTATTGTCAGAGGGGCAGCCACTTTAGCGTGCAACTTTTAAAGAAGCTTAAAAATATATCAAGACTCCAAAAGAACTACTTTCGAGTCCTGTCTTTGGGTCCTGACAGTTTAGAGTTGCGTTTGTCATGAATGATAGTTGAAGTCATATATTAGTTTTTAAATTAATCTGTCCTTCAGGTCAGTTAAACCATGAATAAGTTGTAAATCACTTTTCCTATGTAATGTGCTTTTTTGGATTATGATGGACTCTTCCTTTAACTTTGAAACAGTTTTTTCTCCCATGTTGATTATATCTGACAAAAGAACTATATACTAAAGTGTAACGAAAGTGTTTAAAAGTTTAAATCAAATGAATGCCATGTATGTAATAGAAAGTTTGCCGACAGTACCTATCAGTTGCTTATCATAAACCGGCCTAAATGGGCAATGAAATGTTGTGGACATGTATTAGTATAGTCCGAAATATGAAATGCAAAATGTTAAAGTTTTTGCGCATTTTGTTTGAATTTACCATAAAAATGTACTAACATTCTTGTTTTTCCGCATATTTTTTGCTTAATTTGTTATCTTTCAATCTCTTTTTCGATCGTGGTTCGAAAAACGTAAACCATTCTAGTCCCTGTAGACTCGCACGAATTATTTAGATTTTGAAATAGGAATTGGAGCGTGCGCTATGTTCTTTTGATAATATCGTAACTCTTCCTACGTTAACGTGGTTTAATTAAATATGAACATTATTGATGTTTGGAGAAAAATGATAATTTATTACACATTTCTTTGTCCCAAAAATTGGACTGTGAAGGACCGCAATCAAGTACTGTCCACACAAAGGTCGGACTGAGTTACTTTGTCAAAAAATGTTTTTCTTGTTTTATTCAAATCAAAAGCTATGTTTTATGTTTGAAACTGTGATACTTGAGCGAATTCATTCATCCACAGTTATGGTACTACCTCATGGTTATGACGTTCCAGTTTGAATCATAGTTAGATGACGTTTAGTCACGCGATGTGTAAAGCATGCATGCAATGTGGTTATCGAGACGGGGTTTTGTTTTGTTGAACCTCGCTCCAGGTTTTGTTTTTATGAATTTGGAGTTTCAATAAAACCCGTTACGGGGAAGAAAAATATCTTCCATATTCCTTTTTTCCGTTGTATTATTTCTATCTTTTCATAAAAGTATGTAAATTAACGTCAATAATTTCAACTATTGTATGACGAATGAAAGTGCTTGACACAGTTATTGACCCTTACACACATTTTAACTTATATAAAACTAATGTAATATATATACAACATTTGAACGAAGAAAGTAGCAGATAAAATGGATCATTAATTTCTATGATTTTATCTTCATTCAATAAGGAAACAATTTATACTAGCACGTGTTTTAATATTTCTTATAATTTATTAGTGGTTACTTGTAATTTATTTAATCAGGTATTTGTAATCTGCGTATCATATGTTATATAGATAGTTCCATAAGGAGCGCAGGCTTGGCTACCATAAATTCAGCCGTTTGTGTGAACTTCACCATTTGATCCGGATGTGTGATTTTTGGTTCTTATTTGCAGATTCACTCTAACACCAGTTTGTTTTTGTCTTCAATTCGGAACCATGGAAACATCAAGAAAAGCTAGTTTATTAAACTTAAAATTATTAAGAATTCAGTATTTGGAAACAAGATAATTAGCACAATTAAGTAACTCGCTGCTCTGTGTAAAAAAAAAAAAGTGTGCATAATAAACTAGTGGTTTTGATTTTCATGTTTGTTTGTGTGATGTGTTTTATAACAGTGATACAGGTATATATATATATTGGTACTTATCACCAGCTCTTTTATACAACCTATCTATAACGTTTGCTCTTTCTAAATGTTACTGCCGACCGCAGCCCAGTGGTCAGCGTATCAGACTGTAAGTTTGATGGTTCGCATCCCGTTACCGCATAGAAATATTTGTGCTACGCACTTTGGGGCTGTGGCTGAGTGACAGTAAATTCTCACAATTCGTTCTTATAGAAGTAGCCCAAAGTTAGCAGTGGGTGATGTTGACTAGTTGCCTCTAGTGAGTCTAGTCTATCACTTCAAAATTAGGAACGGATAGAGCAGATAAAGAGGTATAAAATTCTTCAACTTGTTTATCCTGGTAAACACCCAAAATAAGGGAATGAAAGTCATCTCCATACAAATCTGGAAAGTCTGAAGCTGTATCATGGGCTTCCATCTTTGTCCACATTGACGTTTTGCAAGCTAGTCCGTGGGACTTCATCTTGCGCTGCAGTTTTGATAGTTTCAAGCATGTCTTTTGCTACCATAGTCATCATATGTATTTTGCACAAGATTATTATATTAACAGTTGGAAAGGTCACTAATAATTCGGAGTTAATTATGTACGAAAGGAACCTGTCGGTTAGTGAATACCATTTCAAGTAACTTCCATAGTTTGATGCGGCTATTGACTGCCTCGACCACACACTTTGGTAACCAGTCTTGATGGGTTGGATTCTTTAGTCGTGTGTTGCTCACGTCCTTGAGGAAAGAAACAGAAATCTGTGTTTTAAATATAAGATCATGCATAAGTTGAAGCATGTATCCTACACTACAGCCTACAGCAGCAACATCGAGTAGTTACACCCAAATGAAAGTGTATTCAACATCCTTTTCAAGTATATGATGAATTACAGCATCATTATTTCTCGCATCAGAAATGTATGGATCCATAATGGACACTATGTATCCATCTTAATACACAAACATCGTGGGTTTGTTTGCTTCAGAAATTCCTCCAAAATTACCCAAGGGCTATCCGAACCAGCTGTCCCTAATTTTGAACTGACAAGACTAGCGGGAAAGCAGCTAATCAACAGCACTCTCCAGCAACTGTTGGACTACTCTAAACGTGGATCGTGTTTTTGCAGAAACCGGATACGGACCATATATCATCAGCTTCACAGACGGCACTCTAACCACTAAGCCACTGCCGAACTATCATCATCGGCTTCACAAGGGATCAATGCTTATTCATGGTATAGAACTTTTGTCGGAATGCACAGTTAAAATTTTTTGTATGTAGACGTAAGTGCCATCTAGAACTAAGCCTATCTTATTTCCCGTAAACTATCAGAGAGCGAGTGTGGGTGTACATTTTTGACAACTGATATGTACATTGTCCAGATCCAGAATAAAGTGGAACAAGGTCGCTTGCTAAAGTTGCACGAGTCGAGTGTACTTTCTGTATAACAAGAGAATCCTTTCAGCTTCAAAGAGTTGACAGTATCCTATTTGACAAGCAAACACGAAGCTTAACACATAGGACAGTTAAACATGTTCACACGTGGGTATTTCTCAAATATGGAAGCCTGATGCTAGGTCATCAAACTTAGATATTTGTTTTCGGATAAGATTGAAAAAATTGAAGTACTCCTCAACAAGGAGACTGAGTGGCTGATCAGAGTGTATTCCAGTAAGTTTTTGTGCAGCTGTTCGAGAGCGTTCCAGTAAGTTCGTGACTTCATCATATCAATCTTGTTCAAATGTATGTAATCTGTAGAAAATATAGCAACACCTAACTCTCTCCAGTAGGAATAATAATACTTTGCTTTACAAACATATGGGTTGTAGTTTCAACTGGAATAACAGTAAGTTTGTTGTAGGGTATACAACACACTGCATGAGAAGAAAGTTTGATGATGTAATGCTTAGTTTTATACTTTTTGGATTCGACAGATTAGGAACTCTGCCCGATGCTTGTGAAAGGGATGCTTGTGTAAGCAGGATCAGGTTTATCCATATGGTAATTAACTGCAGTGATTGGGAGATTGTTTATACTGAAAATCCTGCCGGTAACATTTAATACATATTACATTGTCTGGTGGAGCATTGGAAAGCAATAGGCTTAACATTTGAGATAAAAATAACAAACTGCAGATGTTTTTTGTTTACATTCCTCTTAATTTGCTCATTTTGGATTTCAAATCAGATTAGAGTAAAAGCCTTTCAGACATATGTTTCTTCAAGTCACGGCCAAGGATACCTTTCGTTGAATACCAGAACTCGTCAGCTGGGCTAAATTATGAGAAACACGGGTTTTTCCGAAACGCAGTTTATAGTAGAGGTACAAGACTTTAAAAAAATATGGTTTAAACGCTGAAAGCTAGTGAAGCATTTAGAGCCAATAGCTTAACGTTTGCGATAAAAATAACGTAAAATATAATATTACAATTTGTACAATAAATGAAATGCACGTAATAGTGATTAATATGAACAAACCGAAAATGAATATATTGTAAATTTCGATTCAGTATTAAAACTGAGCCTCACCACTAGTAATGATCCTTGAAACAGAATTAAGAGCAAAACGTCTAGATAAATATTTTTTTTTCTTCTGACATTTGTAAAAAAATAATCCAATAACAACATTCTTGAATGGGCAGTATTCTAGTATAATGTTCGGATGGTTAAAATAAATCTAGAAAACGTCATAAAAATACATATCTTAAATGACTAACAAGAAATTTAAAACTTAATGTTCTTGGATAGACACTAAAAAAAACAAAACAATTCCATATACAAAAACATTACTAGATGTGATTCTTCTATTCGACGACATACTAGTTTTTACAGGAGCATACGTTAAATAATTGAGTCACTTTTGTAAAACTAAATACCTCAAAAATAGTTTAACAGGCCCTCACGAGCCAGAGGGGGACATTTTTGTTGAAAAAAAAACTATCCAATCCGATCTTTCTGAATTTTGACTGAATTTTTTTGGACATTTTTATTGGCTAAAAAGAAGGTATTTCCCGCAACCTTTTAGCGTTCGGGCTGGGAAAAGTGATTTGAAGTGGAAAGGTGACTGAAATCTGTCAGCGTATCACGAGTATAACGGCCAAGCATATAAGTATCCAAATGGCATGCAGAAGTATTCAGGAACTGTTTAGAAACATCTTGGTAGGTATTGTTTAACAAGCCGAGTACAATATTATGCCTGTAGCTGCTTGCAAAGTGTTCCTGTATGCTCATTCTACTGCCGACTGTCGTGATGCTTCGACCTTTCCTACTGCATCGCAGGTGAAATCGTTCGTATCTCAATTAAAAGCTAAACAAAGATAAGAAATGAAGCCTTCGTTTAACATAACGTGAGCTGTGAAAAGCAAAATGACCTTAAGTCCACTATTTTATTTAGCATGTACTTGCTTTTAAGATGTTGCTGATCTTGCTAGTTCACTTCTTATTTATTCAAAACTCATATTATATGATATCCAAGTAACGTATTAGGTCTCAGTACAAGAAACTGCTGAACTAGGTATTAAGCTACTGTGTATGTGTTTCTATCCCTTTGAACAGGTGATTGAAAATTAATGCGTTTTTTTTTCTGACTTGAAAACTGGAATGGAACGAAGGCACGTTGCTCATTTTTTACTTATATTGATTTTAACTGTATTTTTGTATATTAGTAATATAAGACGCTGTAGTCACAATTGCCCAAAAAAGTAATGAATTAAATGAAAATGAGTTTGTCTTACGTGAAGAGGGACACCGTAACAAGTTATTTAAACGCATAAATAAAATATTTTACTTGGCGATTTAAAAGTGTGGCAGTGAATGTAAAATGATTATATTTTCGTATATAATTCACACTAAAGATTACTCATGTATACGTACAAGAGCATATATACTTAGAGGTAACTGAGCCAAACGCAATTTATTTTTGTGATGGAAATTCATAAGAACCTCGTGTACATAATTTCCCTAAATGCACATAGAGGACGCCACCATTGTATCAATAACTACGTTCAGGTCTTTGCTGATATTAGCAAAAAATATCTCTTTCGCTGTTACTGTATTATAATTATAAAATAAAAATAATGAACTGATCTTAACGATGGGTTAATATAATACTATATATATATATCCGCTTTGAAAAGCATTAAGTGTTTCATACCTCTCGAGCCCGGCATGGCCAGGTGGTTAGGGCGCTCGACTCGCAATCTGCTGGTCGCGGGTTCGAAGCGCGTCACACCAAACATGCTCGCCCTTTCAGCCATGGTGGCGTTATATTGTGACGGTCAATCCCACTATTCGTTGGTAAAAGAGTAGCCCAAGAGTGGGCGGTGGGTGGTGATGACTAGCTGCCTTCGCTCTAATCTTACACTTCATACCTCTCGAAAGAACTATTTCCAGTTCTTAACGTTTCACTTTATACATTACCTTAATCATTGTTATTAATTACTGTAAAGCTGGATAATATTTGATAATACTTGAGTAAAGGCCATACTACTCGTAAACCATAAAAATAATTCACAACAGTGTGGTGGACATGTTTATGGATATAACATCAAACCCTCCCCCTCCCAAACAACAACAAAAATAGAAAGTTCTACATGAATTGTCTACGTCAATCCTGTCAAAGAATTATCACTGACAGAATAACTGACCGTTAGTGTTATCAAGAGGCAGTTGAAGCAGACAGGCAGGCAAAGTTTATGTTGTTCTAGCAGATAACATTAAGTACAGATCTCGTGCTATTACGTTCCATGATCAGTAAAATCCAAACATCTTCATGGATTCTTTGAAACGTCCTGTTCTTATCTTGATAGTGACTTTAACAGTAGTAAGTACTATTTTTGTTCGAAATTTTGAATTAAAAAAGTGAAATAGTGACTAAGAGACTTGCAAAATAATGAATTCGTTGTTATACGAGTAAGTACAATCGAAACACAATTTTTTGTAAATGAAAAAAGAGCATAATAATTATTGTAAGATGTGAGTAAGAAAGGCTAACTGGTGTAACAACCAATAACTTTTTGTATACAGTTATGCTATATTTGAAAACAAACGCGGACAAAATAAATGTGAAAAAATGAGCAAGAGACACGCATTTAAACATGCGTCCGTATCTTATATCATTAGGCATCACCCTTTTAAGTGTTAGTCATAATAAGTGAAATTTTACTTGAATTTTTATCTCAGAATTCATTTTATTCTACAATAATGATGGATTATATATATTGTCTATTAAGTAGTCATATCAAAATATTAAGGCTTAACTAATTACTATACTGAACGTGTCTTTAATCAATCAAATTAAGTATATTTGTTCTGTTTGTATTTCAAAACAAATAATTCCGCACATCCACCACAGTTATACAATTATGACACGAGATGAAATATACTAACAATTTAAAACTACATGTGATACACTAACACAAAGTAAAATTATTGTAAAACTATAATACTGCGATTAGATACACTACTACAATGCTATACATACATGTTCTATGAATCATTTGTATAAACAATTATTAGGGAAAAATGCTAAATTGGACATACGTCTTCATGTAATTATATCAACTGAAATACAAACTGGTGTGCTACTATTTGAATACAATGTCTTAAAACAACTAAACAACTTAGACTTATAACAAGACTGGTGAATGGGAAATACCGTTTCACAGTGGCTTACTCTAATAAGGTACATCTAGTCCTATTCACGCAACAAATTCGTATGAACGACATGTTTTATATGTATTCAGATAATGCTTTTCACATTTTTTGTAATTCCACAGTTGTTGGGCATTTTGTTTTAGTGTGTGTATATATATATATAAAACCAGGACATCAATAACATTCATCTATGGATACAAGTAAGAAAACACTGGAATTTTAAATTTATATTTCTCTTCCGGTTTCGTTACTTCAGGAAATAGTTTTACTGAGAATCTATAACAAAAACATACAAATATCGCTTTTCAACTAAACATAAATAATCTAAATTATATATATATATATATATATACTTTCCAAATGTACAGAAGAGGAAGATTATACGAAAGACCTGTGAATTTTAGAAAATATGACAGAGTTCCAAAAAACTTTGAGATTGATATACACAGTTTTCTTTTTTAATACAAACATGTTTTAATATACAAAAAACAATATAATTTACAATAACAGTTATTACAAATAGTTATTACGAACAATAATTTATACATAAAAGTTTCACAAACTTACAAGCAATATAAAGTATTCTTTTTAGTGTCGAACTTCCTTGATATCTTATCGAGGGTTCACGATGAGCGAGTTAATTTCGAGTTGATGTAGGTACGATTCTCTTAATAGGGAGCTAGCTAGCCCTGTAGTTCTCACTGATCACAGTTCCCGATTAATTAGCGTTATAACAATCATAGCTTCCGAAGTTTATAGCACAACAACTATAGCAAACCAATAATATATACTATTTTTTTGGCGCGTTGCGTTGGTTATAGTTATAGGCGTGTGGAAAGGTTCTTGAAATTTCAGTTTTACGTAACAATACTGACGCTAACACTAGCGTTTACGTACACACATGTATTATTGATTCTTACACTCGAGAATCTTCTACAACTTTGGAGAATAGGCGGGAGCTTGGCAATACATATTTAACAGTATACGTTATGTACATTTCTAAATACAAATTAAATTTAAACAAACATCGACATTGAAATAAATGTATAATAATAAATCCGTCAAAATCAATCATAATAAAATTTATTTCATATTTTGAGTAAAATTGGTACTTGTGTTTATCAAACTGAAGCTTGGTTAGACAGAACACATATAGCACATTTAACCTCAAACAAAACTTTAAATGATAATTCAGTTGTTTGGTTTTGAAATAGTGTTAACTGTATAAAAATTTGTTACAGGTGTAAGTAGCTAAACAGGAGATATAGAATATAAAACAACTAACCCAGTTTTCAGGTTAATGAAATTCTAAGGACATGTGTTGTAATATGTGAACCGCATTGTATCTACTACTAGACCACCGTGACCCTGTTGGGTCAACAACTATTCAGAGGTTATGAGGGATTCAAGCTAATTTCAATATTGCACCGAAATTAAGGTTTATTTTGAGATAATTTAATTAAATATTTCAATCCATTCGTGTTATTCATAATTCAAAAAAGATATTTGATTGTTGTCATCTTACGCCTTTTAATGAAGATGGGAACATTGACAGGGAAATACTATAATAACCAATGCTTGGCGAGAGTTTTCATTTATAAAATTTTATTGTTGTTCTCGACTTGATTTTTTTTTTTACCTCGTCTCCATAGTTACTATTTGCAAATAGTCAATAATATTGTAGGTCCATTTTATTGTTGTTCTTTCTTCGCACCGTTATAACACATTTTCATCTCACCATTTCTGTTGTGCATATATTGTTGTACAAGCGAAGTTTTATAGTAATGGAATGTACGAAAAGTGACCCCCAAAAACGGGGCTAACTCGGTAACCCGTGGCCCGATTTTAACGAAACTTCTTTTATTCTGTTTTTATTATAATTTCTATTCTTTTTTTATTACAAATATGGCGGTATTTTGCGCCGTTTTTGCTGTATTTAATTACAGACAAGCATACACACAAACACTCTCAGAGTTTTAGTAGTATATAGATATGCGGTGCCGATAAAGTATTTCACCTAATATCAGTCTAGTCTTCTTATTCCTGGAGTGAACCAAGCAACAACAGTGTCAACGGGAGAAAACTGCATTAATAAATCTAAGAACTTATAAGTGAAAGCAAACAAGAATATGTAGCAATTTCTCAAATATACAATATTTGCTATACCTGGTGCCGATAAGGACTTTCATCTAATACCAGAGCTCATCAGGCCGGCTAGGATACAACAGGAAAAGGAATAGCACAGATATATATATCGCGCTATTTCGAAAACTATGTTTCTTATATATGTAGAAGTTACGACAATACAGAAAAACTAACGTAATTATCTCAAGAACTGGGAAATCAGAAGTAAGATAATAAAGCTTATATTCATATTCCAAGTTTTTAGCTGTTTAAGTATTGCAAAAAATAAAAGATTAAAATTAGCAACGTTTGGTGTGGCCTTTCTGAAATTTATTTGAGTGACCTTTATAGAACACCTATATATATATATATATATATATATACACACACACAC